ATCTGTGAGAGTAAAGGATATGTTCCATTCTATATGCATCCGAAGAAGTGGGCTGTAGTCCACGAAAGCTTATGCTCTAATAAATTTGTTAGTCTCTAAGGTGCCACGAGTCCTCCTGTTCTTCTTTTTGCGGATACAGACTAACACGGCTGCTACTCTGAAACTCCTCAGTTACTCTGACATAAATCTGGAGTGTCTCTGTTAGAATGTGACCATTCTACAGTGGTACATGCCACTTCATGGTTTGTTTTCCAGAACAAACGCCTTCTTTTCTGAGTAGATTTTAGACTTCTACCGCTAACTTCTCTTATGGGGTTAGCGAAATAATGTATGCAAAATAAATGAGAAATTGGAAAGGTCAGTCAGGGCACCTAAGCTACAGGAAGCTTTTTTTGTTTTTATGTGTTTGTTGTTTTTTCCCCCTCCAGACCATGTTTAAATCTCTAGATATCAAGAATGCTTAGAGAGTTCCCACAACATCCAATAACAAACAACAACTGAGCTGGAAATAGAAGCTCTTATAGACTTACAAAGTACCTTGTTTAAAATACATGAATTTATCAGACAAGTCTTGTTTAAAGAAATAGAACTTTTGAAACTGTAAGACTAGAAAAAAGTATTTTTCCTCCTCTCAGCAGATAGACATTTACTAACTTTATCTAAAAGAAGAAAGTAGGTTTATAGCTTGAATTTAAATTGACAATCTTCTACCTTCTTCTTGTTTTAAAAAAGAAAGGAATTCCACTGAAGCAAACATCATAATGCAAGTGCAATGAAAAACATTTATCCCACGCAAATAGTTCCTTCTTTGCTCTGAGCATTGCACCAAAGAGACAAACTTGAATACATTCAGCAAAGTTTGCATTTAAATGGCAACACTTGTCATAATTCATCTGACAGTCACAGCTGAAAGGAAACACAAATGTGTAAACGTGATGAATGTAAGTGCTGTAAAGTAGACCCTGCATCTTTGACTCTTTACTCAATATTTATTGAGCTCAACAGAAAGACCTCAGCTTGTGAGGCTCTCTCTTAGCTCCATCATCAGTAAAGCTCGAAAATGAGAGATTTTGTTTCAGGTATCATCACTGAGTTTAAAATTTTGGCTCATCAAATTTTAGCTAATCCTAGGCATGATGCTTTAAAATGAGAAGCACCTCCTGAGAGATGCTGGCTATGGAAGCTGAAAGTACTCCATTCCCCTTTGAGCTCAACATGAATAGATCAACAGTTCTACCAGTAAAACATCTTGCTTAGTTTTTCTTAAGGTATAATCTATAGATACTACAGCCTGGAATATTTTCCTATACTTTACATTGTTCATATTCATCAGTCTGAAACTGAAGTTCTACCACAGTTTCAGCCATTCTTGTTTTTATTAGATGGAAATATAAATGAAAGATGGAAGTTCTGACTTAATGGGAAATAATTGTATTACAACAGTACTGGGAGAAGAGTCTATCCATAAAATAAGAGTAAATATCCATTAAATATATTTACATTTTGTTATTTGTCACTGAAGTCTGACTTCAAAAATTTTATTCTGTAGAAAATCAGTTATTTTTAAGAGAGGAAAGTGTTGTGGTTAAGGCACTGGATTCAGACTCAGAAGATCTGGATTTAGTACCCTGCTCTACCAAAGACTTCCTGTGTGACCTAATCTAGCTATTCCTCAGTTTCCCATTTGTGTAACAAAACAATAACTCCTTTGTCTTGTCTGTTTAGATAGTAAATTCTCCAGGACAAGGATTATCACTGTATCTGTCTATAGTGCTCTGTACAATGAGACCCTGATCTCCATTGGGGCCTTTATGTACTACTGTAATTCAAATAAATAAAATAAAAATAAATAATGGATTATTAAAGAACCAGGTGTAACTAATAGAGTTATTGGACATCGTTTTCTCTCTCCTTTGCTGCTACTATTATAGTATACTAGTCATGTTAAGTACATTTTGTAATGTCTGTTATTCAGATAGTTTTTGGCATGGGGAGAGTGCCCACAAAACAGTGTTTGCTAAATTATTGCACTTGTGTTCGAATTTAGGAGCATAGTACAATGCATTGATGGCCTTTTGAACAGTGGAAACTCTGAAAGGTCACAGATTCCAGGGCAACCTGTGAGTGGAGCTATGGAACAATGGGGATGGGTGAAAGGATAAATCATGTAAATATTCCTGCCACCCATATTCCACTGCTTATGTTTTATCTGTCCCTACAGCCCACACTGGGGATACCCAGCTCATAGGAGTTACTACAGATTTAGGGCCGGCTTAATCCTTCCCAGCCCCTCAAACACTCTCTCTTTCCCTCTTTCTCCCTCTCAGACAGTGAGAAGCAGCTTCTAGCAAAACCTATTCTGATAGTAAAACATACCTGGGTTGGGCAGAACTTTGTTTTCCTCCCCGCATCAATGATCTGTGTGAAGAGAGACTCCATCCGCACCGTCAGTCCTCAGTCATGAGAAGCCTGATCTCTGCAAGTCTGGACTCCTGCCAGGAACATATTTTCTTTCCCAGTAGGCAGAAGTGTGAGATGATATTCTTCAGGCCACATAATCATTTATCTCATATTCAGAAGGGCGCTGCTAGACCATGAGAACCTGCTTGGCCCCATACATCCCCAAATATAATAACTAGTTGTGGAATGCCAAAAGTAAGCACTGCACAGACTTTGAAGGTATAGTCTCTGTCCCAAGCAGTTTCAATATACATTAGACTCTATTAGCCAGAATATGCCATCGCATATAGATTCCAAGAGCCCAAGCGGCTTGATCAAGATACATAGAGTTTATAGACCTGGTTGTGACCTTGCTTATATTAGTGTAAATGAAGAGTAACTTTAGTGAATTTGATTGAGTTACAACGTGTAAAACTGGGATGGGTGATGCCCAGTGACTACACCTGGGAAAGGATAAGAGGTCACAGATATATCATTATGTGGCCTTAAACAAGGGACATCTTCCCCATCTGAATCAGGAGCAGCCTCTACATACACATAGTCTGAGAGACCTGCAGTACTTCCATGGGCCAGCAGACTCACAGATGCTACTTTGGGGCTTCACAATAAAGCTCTACATCTGGCTGCATAGGCTGATGTACCCTCAGTCACGATAAAGTTCCCATTCACGTCACATTGATATCCATGGCCCGGGTACTGCATGAGTGCTCTGACAGTTGCCTTAGAAATATCTACAATAAAGGAGCAATTCAAAGTCAGAATTTGGCTCTTACTAACCCTGTATCTAATCTACCAAAAGAAGGATCAAATCATTTTATTTGTTGTGCAGAAAAAATGTGTCACGTTTTTCTCATGATATAACATGCCACACTGATATACCCACATGACACTAACAGGCCTTAGTTTTAAAAAGAAAATTCAAAACATTTTAGCTGAAGGACAGGGTCATGATTTATACTGCCGACACTATAAAAATTATTTACAACACAGTCCACTTCAACCATCTTGATCTTACCTCTAACAAAGGATTCGACTTGTCAGAACTTTTTAATGTGGAAAAACAATGTAATTAGGGATCTTAAAGCTTTATGTAAAAAGCATGAAAACAAAGGTACATACACATGCTGCATCCATTTTGTCTTGTGTTCTGTTTTCACAGATCTTTTCCAGGACAGTTTCACTTTCTTGTATATTTTCAACTAAAAAAAACATTCTAAACATCCAGAAAACAAATCATACACATGTACACCCATCAGTGGACTAAGGAAACTCCTTCTTTGTCTTCCTCCTACATACAAACAGGCAAACGCACACATTTTGGCACCTCGCAACCTACAATACGGTTGCAGTAGTATATGTGTGAGTACATCAATGTCCTCTCGGTTCGAAGAACAAAAAAAGAACAGTTTCTCTCTAGGATAATATGTTTGATCCACGTGTTACCACCCTAAGTACAATAATTTCATTAAGACTTTCTTTCAAAGCTCCTACTAATGTGATTTCTTCTAATGTGAAAGTTACATAAGTTATTGAACACCTCACCTGCAGTGCCCATATTAAAACTTGCAGTTTAACTCTTGAATTGATATGAAGCCCAATTTCAAGGGCACCAGGCACTAGGGTATTGTAAGTGCCTTTAAATGACCAAGATGAATTGCTGATTTTGCAAATATCCCTCGAAAACCAGGAATTCTATTTGAATTACTAACATAACAGATGTTTGCTAGGATCTGCCATGCTGTCTGCGTACACAGTTATGCTAATTTGGCAGAGTTTCTCTTCAAGTTAGCTCTGAGTCATTAAAGCACACAGCTAGTAGGTCCGTCTGTCTAACTAATAATTGCCTATTATTGATATTAATTAACATTTTTTGCACCTTCCCTCAGTTTTGACCTGGTATCTGTTGGTAGTCTAATCACAGTAGCCTATTAAAAGTCAAAATACGGGGGCCTATAGCAGTCATGAGCCATTTATCAAAAAGCAAACAAGGCCAATTAAACAGGCAGCCAGACAGTTGTCTTGATTTGCCACTGACTGTTTCTTGATCACCATTATAAATTGCTAATCGGGCAGAAAGTGCTAAGCAGTGCATCTGCAGGGGGTGGGTACTGCTCACTCCCCGCCTGGTGACAGGTGAGAGAGGCTAGTGATGGCCGTATTGATGTGAACTGCCCATCAGTTGGTAGTTATTGTTAAAGTTCATGATGCTACAGCTGATCCCTTCCTGCTGAGAGTCAATCAAATTAATTAGCGCTAGAAATTCTTCTGTATTATTTTAAAGCAGAAATACAGAAGGAACACTCTGTAATTTGGTTCCAGAGGCAATGGGAAAAAAATCTTCCTGTATTACAGAGTGGGGGGAAAAATCAAATATTGCTTCTTCCATTATTTTATAATAAGGGCTGCAGCTAAAGGTTTTTATAGCCACAGATCAAGAGATCATAATAGAAGCATATTGACAGATTTTTTTTCCTGCAATACTCCAAGGAACTGGCTGAAGCAGGAAAATATATCAAAACCTTATCATCAGAGCTGAGATCTTCTGTGAAAAATCAATAAAGAGTTATACATGGTTTGAGTTTAAACAGTTCTCTGTAGTCATTTAAACATAGCGCATCTGTGCAGCTTTTTACCTCTGGAGACTGGTGTAGCCTAGCAACTGCAAGGCTTAAACCGATTAACTACAAATGAAGTACTATGTGCCTATCAAAGCAATTGTTCATGGTTGCCTTTGTTGCAGAGACTGAGCTAATTGAACATGATACAGTATGAAGATAATTAACACCCATGAGTTTGTTAATTGCCTGTTAGCATTACAACACAGTCTCTTGGTTTCTTTTTAACTTGCTCTTTTGCAGCTTCTTACTTCCCTAAAAGGGTGCAGGACCTATTTAGCTGGCAATGATATCTTATAGTTTATTAACCCTTTTCAAAGGAAGAATGTGGTAATGAAGCAAATTCTGGTCAAACACAAGCTCCCACATAGTCCGTGCAATTTATGGAGAACAGAAATTTGTTTTACATAAGCTGTACAAACTATGTTTATTTTCAGGGCTAATTTATTTCAAGCAATTTAGCCACTATAATTGCTTTAAAAAAAATCTTTTGTGGGTCACTTTTATGACTCAGCTGCTCTGCCTTCTAAAGTGAGTGATAAATGTCTTTTAGGGTTGGAATATTAATTGAAGGCAGCATCTGGTCAGCAGCTGACCTACTATACTTGTCTTCTTTGTTGACTGCCCAGTTAAAACTAGCAGTTTATTTGCTTTATTTACCAGCTTCTCTCTTTCCATTCTGGGAGTGCAGATAAACTCAATTTCGTCTATGCCAAAATGTAATACTAATGGTAAATATGGAGGGAGAGCGAGAGACAGATCAATTTGTCACAATCTATTAATCTGAAATAGTTTTAATCTGAGTAATTTTTTTTTAAATTAGTTATTGTGTCTCAGAGAATATTTCTCTATTATTTATATCTGTGGAATCTGTGAAGAATGCAGATGAAAGCTCATAAGAACAATGCAATGTCTGAAGGTATAAATGTATAGGACATTTCTCTATAAAATGGAGTCAGCATTTAAAAGGCAAAGCAAAATATAAGCAGAATAGCCAAGAACGATTAGCATTTGGTTGCTATAGGCAAGTCTCTGATGTTTAAGCTCCACTTGTCCCATACTGAATGGAAATACCTTGGCTGTGTCACAGTTGTTTAAAATAGATTTTTCTTAAAGGATCTTGGGTTTAACTGTTACTGTGTCATAGTTAATACTTGCAGAAAAGCCATTCCCTTGAGGGACACTACTAGTGCCCAATTACAAGTTCCATCATCAATCATAAGTATTATTTATTCAGCAAAATGAATTGCTAATTAATAACTGATGAGCATTATGGCCTTGAAGACTGTAACACTATTAATTATGGTTGGCAATTGGGATTCTGCCCATGAAGGACTACTGGGTGCATTTTCACAACAATTAGTGCACAGAGGTTACAAGGGAGAGGGAAAAAATTAATCTGTATGGCTTTTAGAAAGCAACGTCGTTTCTGTGCAGAATAAACAGTAACACATTCTTACCATACTGCACTGTTCTTGTTTTGTTCAGTTTGGGTTTTTAATCTAGAGTGACAAGGAGGCAAATATTATGTCAGCATGTCAACTGGAAGATTTGGCATTGTGTCCTAAAATGAGAGTTCCTGCTGAAACTATACATGGAACCAATGTGGTAACAGTATGTTTGATGTAACACTGCTGCCTTGTGTTTAGTATCCCATGGCTGCTTGGCTGATGCAGTATGCTGTGATTAGTGGACTGACATGCAACTTTAGACCTCTAGCAACTGCTAACTGATAAATGTTTTCAGGGTGGTTAACATTAGCATTATTTTTCAAAACTGTGACTGTGAGCTTTAGGTGAGAGAAGGAGAATACAGTTCACAGTAAGCCCAGGTCCAGGTCTTTCAGTAACTCATGATGATACTAAATTGTCCCTACAGGATCATAATTTACCCTCAGCCCTTCCTTCCCTCTAGCCTTTGTTTACTGTCATCTCTTGCTGTGTTATGTCTAATTTTTATTATAAACTCCTCTGGGCAGTGACTGTTTTTTTCATTTTTCTGTAAAGTGCCAACCACATCTATGGAGCTGTAAAAAAATACCAGAGAAACCGAAGACTAAAGACTAAAACAAAAAGTCAGTTCCTGCCACGGAGCCTGTAGGCCAGGAAAACTCTTCCAAAGGCACAAGCCAAAAAGAGCGGCTAGAACGTAAAAATGGTCTTTGTCATTATTGACTATTTCTATTATGGTAACACCCAGAGAACCAAATCAAGATCAGGGCCCCATTATGCCAGGAGGTGTATAGATATGTATGAAAACACAATTCCCTGCTCTGATGAGCACTTTCGAATTAATTGTTGCACTCCCGGGTCTGAGCAGAGAGGACACTTAGATGGAGCCTCGTAACAACAATATTATTTGCATTTGAGTTTCACTAAAAGTATTTAAAAAAAAAAAAAGAACCAGGCAAACGAAAGGGGGGGAAAGGAATTGCGGCACTT